TGTTAGCATGTATATTTGGTGGGGGGAGAATGAAAATAAACACAGTATTTTTAATGAAAATTGGGATTAAATATTTATCTCAAATTTATGTTTCCTTTTTATCCATTGCTTTTTGGAAAACATATCAAAAGTAACTGCATATAGAATGTTTCTTTTATTCACACACTGATTCATTTTTAAAATTATTTCTTTTATTCCTGTATTGGTTCATCTCTCCATTTAATTGATATTTATTGAGAATTTTCTACTCTACAAGTTAGGCTAGAAAATATGACCCTTGGTTTAAAAAGCTCACTTTTAAGTGAGGAAAATGGTCCAGAAAAGAGAGTCATCAAAAGTTTAGATTTATTACCCTTACATATCAAGTTAAGAAAAACTAGATCAATATACAAATCTTGAAATAGTGATCATGATAATAGCAATAATTTAAAAAACTTATTCTATTTTTATCTTTTTAATGAAAGTAATGTAATATAATAAATAATTTGGAAAATATATAATATGTAGTGGTATAATATATAAATAATATATTAATATAATATAATAAATATAAATAATTTGGAAAAACAGGAAGGTATTTTAAAAATAGATTAGAAAGCACTCAGTCATACAACTTGGAGGAAACTTCTTGTGTATTTTTATCCTAAGTAAAAATACATGTATATAAATGTATTGATATGTATATATTTATTAGCTACATCTTTATAAAAATGATCATAATATATTACAACATACATTGATATTTTAACACTATATAATTAGTCCATTTTCAAAACAAAATTATGATTGAATAAAAGCTCATAATTTATTTAAACATAACTTATTCTTATAGATCCTCTTTAAAGTGCTATAATAAATTGACAGATGTATGAAACTTTTATATTTCTGATCTGAATATTCCCTCAAAATAAATCCCTATTGAATGTTTGAGCCCTCTTCTTTCATTCCAATGGTTATGTGCCAATTTGATAAGAGACTGTTGTTCCATTGTCATTTAGCTATGCTCTTAGTTACTTTCTAAAAACACATTTTAAATTTTACATTGCTAGTTTTAATGCATTGTCATGAGAGTTGCTTGTATTTCTCTTAATAGGGTTTGTTGAAGGTATTGTGTGATCTCCTTTACAAGAATATGATTTGTTAACATTTGTTAATGTTTTGCATGTACTTTAGATGAATGAATATTTCCTGTCATTTGGGGTGTAGGCTCAGTATATATTCATAGGAAATGTCTCTTTTATTAGGCTTGTTTGTTGTGTGTACTCTTGACTACTCTTGGACCAAAACTTAAAAAAAATAGTGTAACTCTTGATTACTCTTGAACCAAAATTTAGAAAAAAATAGTGTTTCTAAGTCTTCCACTGTTAGCTTTTCTGTTTATTTCTTCTTGCATCTGTGTTGTTAGAAGATAAAATACAATCATAATAAACAATCTATAAGAAGGTTAAAAAAAGGTAGAAAAGGCAACAAAGAACATATATGAGAAATATAGAACAAATAAAAGGCGATGAACTAAATCTAACCTTTTCAGTAATCATTTAAAATATCAGTGGTCTACACACCCAATTTTAAGACAGAGATTGTTAAATGAGATAAAATAACAAGACCAAACTGTGCTAATTACAAGAAGCACACTTGAAGTAGAAAGACACAATGAGGTTAATAGTAAAGGAATGGAAAAAATCACACAATGCTAACACTAGTCAAATAAAGCTGAAGTGACGCTTTTAATGTCAAATACGTTTAGAGGAAATAATTTTACCAGAGATAAAGAAGATCAATTTCATAATGATGGGAACTAAACTAAGAAAGAGATGATAAAATTCTAAATGTTTATGGCTCTAATAAGAGGAATTTGGAATGCATGGTGTAAAAACATATAGATCTGCAGGAAAAAAATAGAAAAATCCAAAAATACAAGTGGGAATTTCAATTCCCTTTTTCCATAATCAATGGAACAAATACACGTAAAATCAGCAAGAATATAGTAGATTTGTACAATAGTGTCAACCATTCTCTAGCCCTGGAGAAAGCTCTAAATAAGTACAGTTGCTTATTCCACTTGAATCTTTACTATTTCTGATCCTCTTTTTTATTAAAATAGTAGAGAATGCAGAAATTTAGAAGGAAAAAGTAAAGTGGATCCTTCACTGGACAGCTCTGAAGTTCCCCTGAGTGCAAATCCCTTCTTTCCTGTTGACTGCTTTGTGGGAGGTTTGGGCAATATCACTGCTTTTTACCTTTCAGAAAATATAAACAAATTTGTCAAAACATATCTTCCTATATTTATTCCTGTTACCATCTAGCACGGGTTTTTGCATAATTTGTCTCACTTTATATCCTGGTTTTGACATACTGACTTCCTTGAAAAACTCAAGAAGTTCATATTCACAAATGAATGCATTGCAGTTGAGGTCAACCTCTGCAAATGATTCTTAGGGTTCATCAAGTCTGAATGGGAGCCATCTCCTACATTTAAAGATGGTCTATGATATTAAAATGCCAGTAAAGATGGACAACATCTCTGTGGATAAGTTTGGTAAAAACAACTTTCAAAATTGCTTAGGATGTAAAGTCACAGAGCACCTGTTCTGGCCCAACGGCATCTGACCAGTGCTCTCAGACAGCTTCTGCTCCCCAGAATCTCTGCAGCTGTCTGATTATCTTTTCTGTGACAGAATATAATGGCTTATTTTAAAGATTCATGGTCTATATTTCTTACCTCTTCTTATAAATTTTTCTTCATTTCCTTCCTGCTTTGCAAATTCTCATTAAGTTACTCTTGCTTAAATCCTGATATTTCAATTCTGTTAGCCTATAATGTGTGAGTTATCTCTGCAGGAATGACATGTCATTTTTGTTTTGTTCCACTGCACTTTTCTCTTATCATGGACCTTGCTATTTAGTAGAAATACCATCTTCTTGTATATTTATTGAAAAAAAATCAAACATATGTTTACTTAAATTATCTTAATATTTTGAAATGTACCATTATTAAAGAAAATAGTTTTATGAGTCCATGGAACATTGAATTTTCTCTTTATCAGCCTTTAAATAAATATAAATGAATTCAAGTTTGTGTAAAAATCCAGATTAATAAGGAAAATACTTCAGATTATTTTCATTATACCGAGAACTGATAGAATTTTCTTTTTATATCTAACCGGATGGTGAGTGACAATAATCAATGTATAATTGAGTTACTAGCATCTGGTGAGCCTGCATCCCAAATTAACCCTGATTTTTCAAGAGATTACCCACAAAATATTACAGCTAGTTAATGAAACACTCTAAGCCTGGGTTTAATGGAAACCAGCCAAGATCACAAGGAAATACATGACACTATAGACTAAACAGTATTTTCTGCTTCTCATTGGTTTTAAAGTCATGAACAAGAGAAGAAAATTTTCAGAGTAGGATTTTTCACTGGGATGAAAATCCTGCACCTGCTTCCTGCCTTAAAGATCTCTCTATTTCTGTTCATCCTGTAGACCTCCTTCTCACTCACTCGAGCTGCCTATATCCTTGTGTGGGTGTAGGCACAGAGGCAGATGGGTAGCTTGTAGCAGAGGTGGTACAGATAGAGGTAAACCTGGTGAATCTGTCAGGGCCTCAACAAGAAACAAAAGACACACACAAATGTCAGTCTGAAAAGAACTTAATAAAGTTGCTACTAAAGTTGTTGATGGGGTTGAGAAAATAAAAATGGATGTTGAAAAAAACTGGATATTGAGTATCCAAAGACCAATATCATAAAAGCTTCATCACTCCCTTGTTCTGAAGGGGAAAGGGAAGAAAAAAGCGGGCTTGGGGTAAAAATGGTAAGAGCTGTAGCTGTGGCAGATGAACTGCCTGGCAAATGCTTAAGGGACACAACAGAGCACTGGTGTCAAAGCAGGCTGAGAGTAGAAGAAAACAACAAAACTCAAACACTTTTTCCTCTTGCATTCTAAATCTCCTGCCAGTGACTCCCAATGACTTGATCCATCGAATGTAAGAAGACAAAGGCTCCTGAGTCATACAGGTATGAGCTTCCAACCTCCAGGAGAGTCCAGTGCAATTCAGAGAGAGCAGAGCGAAGAGCTGGGCAGGTAAATGGAGCAAGAGCTAGATCCTTCCGTTCTCTCTCTCTCTGTCTCTCCCTCTTTCTTATTTATTCATCTATATCTTTTGGGCTTTTTTTTTTTTGGTCCAAGTCTGGTCATCTTGCTCTATTCTCCTACAGTCTCATCATCGTCTGGCTGGGCTTTGCTCATCTGAAGCATTTTCTATTCTGGCATCTGCGTTCACATTACTGGGATAATACTTATTCCACCAGACTGACTTTTCTCCCAAGTAACAGTTATCAATGAAAAAGAAATCTCTGTAATTCATGCCCCAGTCACTTCTGTTTCTTTGGTTGTGTATGTGTATGTGCGTGTATATGACTATTATATTAATTTTTATTTTAGGGGAAAGATATAAATCATTCATTATGGTTTTTGATTCAATTTGATTGGTCTGAGAGAAAGTCCTTGCCTTTCTCACATATATTTAGCTCTTGTCAATATTTTGGAGCTACTGTGAAGGTTTTCAGTTTTTTCCCTTTCACAATCATTTTACATTTGTTTATATGAAAATTGAAAACATATCTCAAAGGCATTCGGTATCCCCATCATCTTTGAAAGTTTACTATCCACCATAAAAGAAGCTAAAGTCCACGAACGTCATGAAGAAGGTCTCTGATGCCTTACTTTCTTTTCCAGGCTCAAACAAAACACCTTTTGGAAGCCTGCTCTAAGTTCTTTAGTCCTAAGTGCATAAACCATAGGGTTGAGGGAAGGGGGGATAATGTTATGCAGCACATTGAGTAGGACTGTAATCAAAGTAGCTTTAGTCTCTGCCAGGTGAGTTACTGAAATCACTACAACAACTGTGTAGAAGAAGAGGATAAGGATGAGATGGGAGGTACAGGTGCTCAGAGCCTTGGACGCAGCTTCAGCTGAGTTCAGTCTAAGTACCGAGCGCAGAATCAAAGTGTATGACAATATTATAAGACTTAGGTCACTCCCCATTCCAAGCCATGCCAGAACCAACTGGCAAATGCTGTTTGGTCTCCTGTCATCACAAGCCAGTCTAGTGACCCCAAGGTTAGAACACAGGCTCAATCTCATTCCTGGAGCAATAATTACGCTGGGCTGCAAGCACAGGCACTGGAATGACGACCAAGCCATTCCGAAACACCATGAATAAGGTAGCTTTTAAGATTAAGGCATTGGTGACAATTGATGGGTAGCGAAGAGGGTGGCAAATAGCTACATATCTATCAAAAGCCATGCAGAGGAAGATGCCTGACTCCATGCCAACAAAGCAGTGGATGGCATAAATCTGAGCAAAACACTCAGGGAGGCTAATGACCTTGGCATCAAACCAGAAGATGGCCAGGATCTTGGGCATGATGGTGGTGGCCAACCCCATGTCCACCACAGAGAGGATGCCTAAGAAGTGATACATGGGCTGCTGAAGAGCAGAGTCCTGGCAGATGGTGATGAGGATGAGGGTATTGGCACCGATTGCTGAGAGGTAGAGTAATGCCAG